TGGAGCAGTGTCTTGGAAATCATCCAAACAAACGTGCATCGCCCGTTCTACAATGGAATCTGAATTCATAGCTTTAGATAAGGCCGGTGAATAAACTGAATGGCTCCGGAACTTCTTGGAAGATATTCCATTTTGGCCCAAACCTTTGGCACCTATTTGTATACATTGTGATAGTCAAGCGGCAATAGACAGGGTAGGGAGCGTTATGTATAACGAAAAATCTCGTCATATACGACGGAGACACAATACCGTTAGACAACTACTCTCTAGTTGTGTTATCATAATTGACTACATAAAGTCAAGAGATAACGTGTCGGATCCACTTACAAAAGGCCTATCTAGAGAGGCAGTAGAAAGATCATCAAAGGGAATGGCGGTAACTCTACCTAGCAGACTGGAGATCCCACGAGCTAGGTTCAAAGAGATCAAACAAAGTTATGAATGACGGTTCAACATTGTCAAATAACTCAATCCATTCTCGTGGTGAAGACAATGTTCAAAAATCGAGGTAAAGCATTAAGGCTTTTTGATGAGTCAACAAAGCTTTAAGGTTTTTTAATGATTTGCTAAGTCTAGCAGGATATGACCAGATAGTGTGTCTATAGGATTACACGTTTAGAAATAACCTATGTGAGTGTGAAGTGTAAGCCGCTTCAAGGGGAATGAAAGTAAAGGCCTATTCTCTAAGCACTCATGAAACCAGGCGGTGTTCATGGCTGAAACGAACACAACCGTGAGAACCATAGATGGTTAAGGATTGATTGTGTGACTTATGTTGTCTAGGTATACAACAAAGCTCGACGGTTCAAAGATATCAAATCTACCGATTGACTGAGTATATCCGATATAAGTTCACTACGGAAAGTTCAAAGGGAAACCTACTTATCCAGATGCAATTAATTCTTTCATGTAAAACACACACGCGTCCGTGCATTCCTTTATTTTATAGCCATTCCCCATTCATGTGGGGGATTGTTGGGATTTTAAGCTTGTGTAGCTTAAAGAGGGTGAATGAGAAATGGAGAAAAAATGAAATATTTGAGTTTCCCTCCTTGGCAAAGGGACATTGTCCCATATTGGAGGAAGAAAAGGCTTTTGATGGGTATATATATAATTGATCTTCTTCTAGCTCTTAAAGAATTAAGAAAAAGGCAAGTCTCGCGCCGTCATCGTCGTCGCTCGCTCGGCTCGGCCGGGCTTCGGCTTCGGATTTGGATTTGGTCAAAGATCGATTGATTGATTAATCTTTTTGGATAAAATTCCTTTCAATTATTTAATTAATTAATTAAATAATTAACGAAAAATCCAATCCGGAATAACCCATGACCCGCGACCCGGTCCGGTCAGGCCCGTTTTCTTTCCCGGATTATTTTAAATCTGTTTTCCAGCAATATTTCAAATAACCTGCTCCAACAGCCATGGCTATTTCTGAAAGGTTGCAAACCTTTTCAGAAACAATGCTAGCAACTCTACAAATATACTTTGAATCCCAGAATCTTTCCTTACAAAATTTTCTGATCTTCTTCTTCTTCTTCTGCACAAAAATTCCAGTGTGTTTTACAGCCTTCGAGTGGCTCGTTGTTCACCGGCATTTTTGGTACCAACACTCCGGTGAGTTAAATCGTTCTATCCTGGGAGGATATATTTCAGCACCTCGGGTACTTGAGGGGAATAATTTTCTTAAGGACACACTGTGTATTCGGTGGGCTCGATTTATTCCTATACTGTTTTTTCAAATTTTATTTCGTTAAACAAGTATTACTAACTTTCTGTTTTGTTTATATATTTCAGAAAGTTTAATGGTTTAATTGTTTATTACAATAATACAGATTTATAACACCAACTCCAAAACACTCTCCGTTTTGCTAATATTATTATTAATCTTTAATACTCCCTCCATTTCAAGGAAGACTTGTATTTCTGAATACAAGAAACCGGTTTTGAAAATTTAGCTATGATTTTTAATTTAAGACCATCGCGACATGAGCATCTTACCACACTGATAAGTGCGTTGGGTCATTTCTATACTGACGTTGATAAAAGATATTTGTGTTTAATGGTTTGGACTTCTTTTTCGGCTTAGAAGATATACTGAAGATATCTGGGTTGCCTATAGATATTAAACCAGTTATTGGACAAGATGGAAGAGATGAAGAGTTTGCTGAAAAATATTTAGGAGTGACAAGAGAAGAATATGTAGGAGTAACAAGCGGCAAAGATATAGACTTAAAAACTGGAGGGATTTGTCTTAGGTCCCTTGGGAGAAAATATGGGAACTCTAATTGTCTGAATAGTCAATATATCAGAGCGTATGTACTGTACATAATAGGTTCCGTAATAGCTCCTAGAACCAACTTTGCCGTTCCTGGATATTTTTTGGCTCTCTTGGAAGATGTTGATAAAATTAAAGACTATGCATGGGGAGCAGCCTTTTTTTTATGGTAATGACAATACAATTAACTAGTGTTCTTGTTCTCTTCTTAAATGATTTTGAATTAAATCTTTTCTTCTATGTGTTCTCCTAGATATTTATATTGGAGCACATTCCAAAAGTTGTTAGAAAGCTCAATATAGACAATAATGAGATGCCATCTGCAACGTTTCCCTTGGTGCTAAGATGGTTAGATCGAGTGAGAAAACTGAACAAGAATCACACCTCCAGTCCATCTGTTTCTGAACTGCTTCAATTGTTTGGTCAATTAACGTATGATGAAGCAAGTTATTTGCCTTGACTAAATTGGTATGCATTTAAAATCAGTATTAGTTATTATGGTTGATTCCATGCAGCTGCTGAGCTGCATGTGTCTTACTATGGTCTTCATTGTGATTTTGCTAGGTTTATGGCTCTATGCAGTAAAGTCTTAGTTTTAGGTATAGATTTCAGGTATTACTATATGTATGGATACCTTTTAGTAGCTTGCATCTGCATTAAGATAGTTGCCGGATGGGAAAGTTTCGTCAGATGGGCAAACGTGATACTATCTTCGTTGTACCTATCTTGTTTCGCTCAGATAAAGGAAACACTACTAGAATAATGGCAAAACCCGGAATACCGACCGAAATCGGTCGAAAAATAAGTAAATTGATCGCAAAAGTCAAAAAAAAAATATTTCTGGCAACGAGAATGACTCCTCCAGGCTGTCTGTGTCTCGACTGCGTCAATTGTTTGGTCAGTTAACGCATGATGAAGTAAATTATCTATCTCACCCAGTTATTTGCCTTGGCTAAATAGGTAGGCATTTAAAACAGTAAGTTATTATTGTTGATTCCATGGATCTGCGTGTATCTTACTATAGTCCTCTGATTATGATTTTCATAGGTCTATTCAGTAAAATATTAGATTTAATTAGGTAGTTTTTGAATTCAGGTATTACTATATATATGAAGAACATTTGAAGTAGTTTGCATCTGCATTAAGATAATTGCTGGTAGAGGCTTGCACCTGCTACATCACTGTTTTTGCTCTGAATGCAACTATGTGTTTTTGCTCGGTATTTCAGATTTCTTGGAGGTCTTTATGATGTGTTGTATCCTGTTATGTTCAGATATACCATGTTAGCATAGGGTGTATATAATATGAAGTGATATTTGCATGTTTTTGTTACATGTAAGTAATTGAACATTTGGTAAAATTGGCTCAATAATGGGGTTCAGTTTATGTTAAAAAATATTATGTTTTGTCTGTATATATGAAGTTTGCTTCCCTTTTTGAGATTTGATCTTCTGTCTTGGATGTTTGATTGTCATATGTCCCTTAGATTTATCTATGAAGTAATTCACACTTAGTTAAAACATATAGTCAGTCCATCCCCCGTAGCTGAAATTGCAGAGACTTTCACTTCTCATTCTTTATGGCAGTGGCGTGGGGCCAGCTTCGCACCTCGGCTATTTACGAGGTTACCCACCTCCCACCCAATACCAACCGAATTTTATAATTTAGGGTGCCCAGCAACGGGTTTCTTCTCCATTTTTCTCTGTTCTCTTTCTCTCATTCTTTCTTCCACATCCGCCAACCCTTCCCAAATTCAACCCAAATCCACTCATCACTCCCTTCTCACCCAAAATCAACCCCTCCCCCCAACTTCGTCTCTCCCTGTTCTCCGTTGGTCCCACCTCTGCCGCCCCACCACTGCTCCTCCGCCCAATGCCGCGCCACCACTGTCGCGCCACTTTCAAAATCATACCCCTCTCCTCTCTTTGAAGGTTAGTTATATATACTTATTAATTTTAGTTATTTAAATTCTTTCAATTGTATAAACTAGGGTTTACAATTTGGGATTTTGAGATTGTTTCAATTGATTATAATTCTTTAGATTTAAGTTTTACTCTAATTGATTTTGTTTATGTTATCATGTAAGGTACTTGCTTAATTATCTAATTTTTATATTTTTTAAATTTTATTGCTCATGATTTAGGGCTTATCAAACTATGATTTATGGCATATTAAATTATAATTTAGAGTTTATTAATTATGATTAATAGTAAGTGAGTTAGTCTAATTGAATGGCTTAACTAATTAAATATTCTAGCGAGTCTAATTATGTTTAATGGTAGGGTTAGAATAATATTGTATTCAAATTAATATGCACTCAAATTATTTAAATGTTGTACTTTGTAACTAAAGTTTATTATGTAACTTAATTCTATAAATTAATTTGAATTATGATTAATATAACATGTAATGTATTTGTTCTTTATGTAGATGGAATATCGTAGTTGGATGTATAATAGGAATTATCTTAATCGTCGGTTTTTTAGGGAGGAATTTATAGAAGGGGTTAAGAAATTTATTAGGCATGCAATGTCACTTGAACCGTTTCGGATTGGAGGGATGATTGGGTGTCCTTGTACGAAGTGCAAGTGTTTGAATTTTGGGGGTTTGGAGGATGTTACGACACATCTTTATAGAAAGGGGTTTATAGATAATTATTTTGTGTGGACTAGTCATGGAAAGGTTGATGGTACTGATGGTGTATTTCATAATGTAGTTGTTGGTGAAAATAGTAGGTCGGTGGAGAATAGCATTCAACATCCCCCACATGATCCTGCGTATAGTTACATGGGTCTATCGAGTCAGCAGTCACAGGGCCATGTGGTGATACGCTCGTCATCTGCTCCATTTTCTTCATCACCAGCTTGATCATATCCATCTAGATTTCAGCCAGCCGGATCGCAGCAGGGGTCTAGATCATTGCAGAGGTGTGGATCGCAGCCATCTTCATCAGCGACATTGTCTCCCTCTCCACGGAGTTCGTCTCCTAGCATTTCTAGATTTCGCCTTCGGGATAGTAGCGCTGAGCCAGATGGCCCCCTTCTACGCACGCTTCAGATTCATCGGAGGATAATGATCCAGAGGAAGTGCGGTATGATCGTTATCATAGGATGATCATCAGGCCTGAGGGCAATGGGTAAGATTTATTTATTACTTCTTTAGTTTTGCTAAATTATAATAGCTACTCTTGTTTATTTAATGTAATTGCATGTTGCATGTTCATACCTAATCATTGGACTATAAAGATAATCATTAAAGCTCTTGGCCGGTTGTATGATGCACCCTATGCGACTAGGAGTGAATTTCCACCGGAGCTCGTGGAGCAAATTTTCAACCAATTTAAGTTTTTAATACAATTCTTATCTATTTAAGCATTATATTAATAATATTTTTATCTAACGTTGCACACTTCATTTGCAGACTAAGTGTGCCTAGGAGGACCGATATAACAGTGAAATTCTTGCAAATTTTGTGTTCAAATACCGTACGAGACAATCTGATTCCTTCAGCTCTTCTCAAAGAAGAGCAAGAAGCCTTCATGGGTTCTACCGCATATATGGGGGGATCTGCTGAGGCAGTGGACCACCGAGAAATTCAAGAAGAGGAGTGAACAGGGAAAGAAGGCTCGAGCATCTGAGAAGGGTGGCTCCTTGCATTGTGTGGGTGCAAGAAGCATGGGGACTGCGAGAAGACTACTGGTAATTCCTTAAAATATTTACATCTATTTTTATCGAACTATATTTATATATTTTAATTTAGTTAATATGTTTTATTATATTTGTAGGAAAAGAAATATGGGAGGAAGATGACTCATGATGAGTTCTTCATGGAGACTCACATCCAGAAGAAGAAGGCACCGACAGATCCAAGTAGATGGGTCGAGGACCGGGCGGAGACTACATATGTAATTTTCACAACTACTATAACTTGAAATTAATGTTTATAATATTATATAGTTAATAATTTTCTATCATCTAAATAAAGAGTCGCTACAAGACTAATGTGGAGGAGTACACTCAGAACTTGCCACTGAATGAGGAAGGCGAGCGACCACCCATTTCAGACGAAGAAGCGCAGAAGATATGGTTGGATGTTGTCGGTGGTCCTAAAAAGGGATAGCATACGGTCTTCTAGCGAGATCATTTCGGCGCTACAGGGCTGGATTGCAAGGTATAGGGACTTCCGCCCAGGGCGAGGCAATTGATAGGTCGACTCTCTCGTGTATGGAGAAGAAGATTGCAAAGCACAACAGAGCTTGAAAAGACAAAGGCTTGAGAACAAAAGAGAGATAAATAATTTGATACCCTTCAAGTTTAGCTAGAAAAGAGGGACCAACAATTTAATATTCTTCAAGGTCATCTAGCCAATCTTCTTGCTAGTGGTGCTTTCCCCATTCCCCGGTCTCGTGAGCCTTCCCCAGATGCTAAACATTCGAACCATGCCGACGATGAATGCTATAGTAGTGGAGATGAAGATGATGTAGTATAAAACACTCATTAAATAATGTTTGAACTTTTAACTTGTGAAACGTTTTGCTATTGGGTATGATGTTTTGTTAATATAGTTTAGTGGAGATGGAGATGGTGATAATGTGTTGTTAATATAGTTTTGATAGTTGTTATTGTTGTTGTTATTGGTTGAATGACATCAATGTAATGCTGTCATTATAGGTAATTAGTTGTTGGCAGGTGGTGCAACTATAAAACAGCTGTATTCTGCCAAAACATTACCCAGAAAATCGAGCGCCTTCGGTCGGAAATATTCATCTGATTTGCCAGAAAATCAAATTTACCGACCGACTTTGGTCGGAATTTTGGATTTTAAATTTTAATTATTTAAATAATACTGACCGATTTCAGTCGGAATTAACAATTTTAAATAAAAATGAATAATTATATATTTTAAAGATAACGACTGATTTCGGTCGGAATTGAATAATTTTTAAAAATAATGAATAATTAAAATTCCGACCGAATATTTTTAAAATAATTAAAAACTATTTTCAATAATACCGACCAAATTCTGTTGGTAACTTTATTTTGTGTCATACAACTTGGTCAAAGTGCATTGACAGTTACCGTCCGACTTCGATCGGAAAATATCGATCGTTTGCGGCCACTCTCCGTTTGCGACTATTGTTTTATCGACTAATTGAAATCGGTCGGAAATCGGTCGATTTTTGATGGATTCCGACCGATTTTGGACGGTTTTTGTAGACACTTTTTGGCAGCTTTTTACTTTAGTAGTGAAAAGTGAGTTTACAAACAGTTTAGGAAAAAATCTGTGAGATAAAGTCTACAAGCTCGCTTAGACAAATAGTTCAATCTATTTTTCCCCGGCGCAAATAGGTTGAAATAAACGTAGAAAGGGACTTGGGACATCTAAGTATCATTGGAACTTGTCTGACCAAAAAATGTAACTTCCGATTAAACTATTTAATTTATGTAATAATGAGTTAAATCTAGTTAAGAATAATAACTCTAGATGTTAATCTCGAAAACATGCAGGAGATGAGGGCAAATCCTATAAATGATGGATGACAATAAGTGCAAAATACTCTTTAAGCATGAACATTAATGGAGATATAACTAACAATAAATGACAATAAATGACATTTAACCATATAAGGAGAATGATTCACCCAATAATGGATGGATTGGGCAAATACTTCTCATGACAATATGAGTGACAGAAAGGTCCAAGATTCGTGCTTTAGAACTATGAGTAGTCATGTTCAAATTCTAAGAGAAACAAAATATAGTTATTGTTTCTTTCATCTGTCCAATTAGCATTAATGAAGATAGTTATCCGATACAAAAAAATTGTGTAATTAATCCGTATGTGCGCAAAACATCATAATATCAACAATAAAAACATTTTTAATAAATAATGTACTACATTTCCTCAACTGACATGCATGTACGAATGAATACATAAAAAGGAACATTTTTATCATGAAGCTTCTCTCAGAAGCCTTCATTTCCTTGTACATTTTTATCAACAAAAACCTTGTGTGTTTTTTTTGTTTTTTTTTTTTTTTTTTTTTTTTTTTTTTTTTTTTTTGCAAGTAATAATGTGAAGGCAATTCCCCTCTATCTTTAACGTTTCTTCTGAGCTTCTAGGTTCAATCAATTTTCTTTTTAGGTTAATTTGCTCGTACTTTTACTGTGTGAGTTTGTCAATTAATTTCTCTTTCATTTTCTTCTTCTTAATCTGCTGCATCTTTTTTGACTTTGGGAGATTGGTGGTGTGCATTTGGAATGTTTTCGCTTTACCTAGATTAGATACACATCATTTTCTTAAGAGAGTCGAGTTTTCTCAAAGCCAAGTTTGTTAACAGCTATAGTACTACATAATAGTGAAACAAAAATCTTTTTTGTTTTTGTTGTGTGTGTTTAGATTTGCAAAAAGATGTCCACTCCACCTCTTCTAGAAATGATGAGAATGTGTTAATGAAAACACCCACTCTTTATGTTGTTAGCTTTGAAAGAAAATTCTGTTTTATCTCTGATTTTTATGAAAGATTTCATTTTTTCATCAAGTGTCATCTTAGTAGTTAATAATGGTAATAAGAAGTTGACGAATTAGTTATTTTGGTTACTTATATCAAAATTTACCAGCAAAGCACCAGAAAATACATTTTATTGAAAGATTTTAACTTCTGTGCACTGACACTATATAAGTTAACTCAGATCGGAAGCCTGATATGGTAACTTGGAAAATAGAATAGTAATTGTTAGAATCGGAAACCTGGGTAGTGCGAAATTTTGCCAAACAACGGTATAATGACAATAACAAAGACAATGGAAGTTGATAATAACGGCAA